TTGCGAATTCTTGACTACAATCCAAGAAAACATTAGTGAGAGATACTTATCAGTTGTATTATTTTGCTGTAGCTTTGTCCAGACACAGAAACAAGATTAAATGCAGCGTATTCTTTTGGAACAACCTATCAACAAGACGTAAGTTTAAGTTTGAACTGCATTTAACAGTCTGTATTTTATTCTATTTATTTATTTATTTAAACAGTCTGTATTTTAGTTTCATTTTCACATTAGCATAATTGAAATAATCTTTGAATGTTTGAAATTGGAAATGTTTTTAATAGTAATGAAGAACTTCACTGATTGACATTTTTTTATTACCTGAGTACAGAAAATCTTAATTAGCATGAAGAGAGTACCTTGTCCTCCACAGAGTTTTATACATCATATAATGTTAGATTTTAATAATCAGTTGTTGATTCGCTTCTAGGCATATAGGTCTTCAAAACAAAATGTACTTCTGAGAGTTTGGGAATAAAAATTTTTACTTTGTTTTTAGTGACTAATAAAAATGTTACTCACTCCTCCCTCTCACCCTCCCAGTAACAAATAAAATGCTTTTTTAAATCTTTTCCTTCTCCTTCCTTCCCTGACCTTTCTTCTTTTCATAATCCATTTTGAAATTACAGCATTGTACAAGGGAATATTGTGAACCATTAAACATTCAGTAGTTTACAAAAATACTTCTTGTTTAAATGTATATACACACACCATAAAACAAAACTGTGATTCCAGTTTTGGTAAAGCCATGATGAGAAATCCATCATAGAAAACACTGGCAGAAAAGAAACATTTTTAATGTGGTTATGTCTGTATGATAGGATTACACATGCCTTTCTTTTCTTCTTCATATTTTGCAAATTTTCTATCACTTATATGAATTCACTTTTATTATCAGAAATGGCATATATTATTTCTCCCTAAAAAGAAAAATAAATGTGTCTACCACGGCCAGAAGAATCAATACTTGTTAAATGCCTGCTGCTGTTTGTTCAGCATTTTATCATTGTTATCTGATCCATGAAATACCTATGTGAGATAATTACTATCTGTGCTTCACAGAGAGGAAATGGTGCTCTCTGAGGTTAGGTAGTTTACTTAAGGTCTTGCATCAAGTAAATTGTGTAGCTAATGTTCTGTTAAGTTAAACAGTTGTGGTTTTTCCATTGAACTGGACTGCCTCTCAAGTACTTCACAGAGTAGTAGAGAAAACAGCCATATAGACAGAAACTTGCAAGGAATATGGTAAGTGTTGATAGGTGTGGACAAGGTACATTGTTGGAAGTTCCTGAGGGAGTAGAGAGGGCTTCATACATGGGCTTGTAGAATGGTGCTCTCTGAGGTTAGGTAGTTTACTTAAGGTCTTGGCATCAAGTAAATTGTGTAGCTAATGTTCTGTTAAGTTAAACAGTTGTGGTTTTTCCATTGAACTGGACTGCCTCTCAAGTACTTCACAGAGTAGTAGAGAAAACAGCTATATAGACAGAAACTTGAAAGGAATATGGTAAGTGTTGATAGGTATGGACAAGGTACATCGTTGGCAGTTCCTGAGGGAGTAGAGAAGGGCTTCATACTTGGGCTCGTAGAAGGAATATGAGTTTTCTAGGAGAACATAGTGGGGAAGGGACTGTCATGCAGAAGCAAGCAACATTTGCAACGATAGAGACATAGAGTAGCCTAGCATATTTCGGAACATCAAGTTGATTAGTATGAATGGACTAAATCAATAAAATATATTAAAAAAAAAAGAGAGAGACATAGAGTAGCCTAGCATATTTAGGAACATCAAGTTGATTAGTATGAATGGACTATAAACTGGTAGGGAGCAGGAATCAGGACCTCATCCCTTTTCACTGCTGTACCTTTAATGTTGAGAATGAAGGCATATCTTCTATAGCCAGGTTGTAGGACAAGAGCCAGGCAGTTCTTTACTGCTAGTTTCGTGGGGTTTTTGGTTGTAGGACAAGAGCCAGGCAGTTCTTTACTGTTAGTTTCGTGGGGTTTTTTGGCCCTTATTTTTATTTAATCATATTTATATCTTCATGTTTTGGAAGGCATAAGGAAATGCACATAGACAAGATAATTTAAAGATACTTTATTTTATATAAGTTTTTTAAAAACCAGTCTTTTAAAGATAATAAATATGCTTTGTAATATTCAGTTGGGATGCTTTGATTTTTATTTTCCAGTGTGTAATTCCTGTCTCTAAGATCTTAACTGACTTCCCCACTCCTATATTTTTTGATTTATACCTTGAATATACCGATGAAAATCAACACCAATATATTTGGGCTCTGCCTGTGTTAAACCTAAATCTTCAACACAATAAAATATTTGTGAACCAAGGTAAGACATCCATTTATACCATTCTTTCTCTGAGCTGAACTCAATAAATAGGTCAACCAACCTGATAACTTAATATACCATGGATTATAAGAAAGGTCATAGGTTCTCTCTTACTTTTTGGTTTTATATAGCATGCTAAAAAGTGAAACAATTAGATTGCTGGTATATTTAGAAATTTTTACAAAATGTATCAGGCTTATTGTTAAGAAATTATATTATTGCTAAAAGTGTGTCCTGAGAAAAAGGTAATAGAACTGGGCTTCTTCAAGGTGTCCTGAAGCTGTTTTGGGGACAAATTTATTTCTTTCATTGTTTCCCATATTATAAAATTCTGCTTATTCAGGTAATTTGCAGGGACAGTTCTTCCAAACTGATGAAAAGTGCAAACAATCAGAAAACATTCAAATGAGGTAGAAAAATCTAGTAGGAATTTCTTACAATAGGTGTGTTTTGTGTGTGTGTGTTTGCAACAATTTTATCTAAAACAAAATGTACTTTGTGTGTTAAATTTATTCAGTAAGCTTCTCCTTGAGAGCCATCTTGAACAATTTTTTAAAAACATTTTGTATTGATTTCAGAGAGAAGGGAGAGAGAGAGAGAGAGAGAAACATCAACGATGAGAGAGAATCATTGATCGGCTGCCTCCTGCACGCCCCCCAGTGGGGAGTGAGCTCGCAATCTGGGCATGTGCCCTGACCAGGAATCAAACCAGCAACCTCTTGGTTCCTGGGTCAAAGCTCAACCGTTACGCCTCACCAGCAGGGCAGATCTGGAACCATTTGAAGGTACTTTTTTAATGCCATTTTTTCTCTCTTTATAATAAAAGACAGTAACTCTGGCAAGTGGCTTCTGACTCGGCGCATTTTCTTAGTGGATGCACTAAGTGGACGAGAAAATGACTTAGGAAGTCAGCCAAGATTAATTCGAATTGCTACGCGGATATCACTGAGGTAAACAGATGTCTAATGCACTAAATTAGACTTGAAGTATAAAGCAAAATGTCATAAAAGAACCTGTTTACCAGTAGTTATCAAATGAAAACAATAAGGACAACTGAACTGAAACAAGACCTAAGGTTACTTTAGATGTCTGTGCAGTAGATTGGTTTAGCCTGTGGTCGGCAAACTGCGGCTTGCGAGCCACATGCGGCTCTTTGGCCCCTTGAGTGTGGCTCTTCCTAAGCCTTAGGAGTGCCCTAATGAAGTTAATAACAATGTACCTACCTATATAGTTTAAGTTTAAAAAATTTGGCTCTCAAAAGAAATTTCCATCCTTGCACTGTTGATACTTGGCTCTGTTGACCACGACCGCTGGTTTAGGCCAACAGAGGCGAGGAGCCAAGAGGAGAATGACAACAGGGGCTTGTGATCTTTATCAGAATTCACGTTCTGTGAGGCCTCCCTCTAGACCTGCTGAATGAGAGCGGGTGGAGAGGTGGAGGGTAGGGTGGGCATTAGTGGGCTGAAATGGGTATATTAGAAAGAGCCTGCCAGGTGATGGCAGTAGGCATATCTTCATCTCCCTTTTTTTGGCTACTTTAATGATGACCCAATTACTTCACCATGCAGCCCTCATTTCTCCCTTTTCCAGTGTGAGATTGCTGTCTCTAAGATCTTAAATACCTTTTCCATTCCAACATTTTATGATGCGTTCCTAAATACGCTGATGAAAATCAGCACTGTCATCTTACATTAGTCTGCACTTCAGTATATATTATTTTTTAACTGCTATTTTATTTTGATTTTCATGGCAATCTCAGGAGGTAGGCAGTACAGAAACTTTGTCTTGTATCCGGCTGGAATCTAAGTGTACTGTGTTTTTAGTATCCCCTCAACCTGCTAATGTGTCCCTAGTAAAAATGAAGTCGGAGCTAGTCAGGCTTGACTTGATTTTAGTAAAACCATGCTGGCCCCTGGAGCCTGGCAATTTCCTTTTTGAGTTTACAAGCTGTATGTTACTAATGCATTGAATTCAGCAAAATGTACCCTACTGTGTGCCATAAACAGTACTAGAGCTGATAGGTTGTTAAGAATTCATTGAACATTAGGATTTATCCACCTTTCTCTAGGCCTTATGTACCACTTATTTGAATATTTCTCAAAAATGGTTCACAATATTTCAGTGATTTCATTTGTAAATTTCATAGGACCTATATCAAGAAGAGTTTCTAATTTGTCTCAGAGGGTTTATTTATTTTTTTAATTTTAGAGAGGGAACAAGAGAGGGAGGGAGAGAGAAACATCGATGTGAGAGAGATACATCAATCATTTGCCTCCTGTATCTGACCAGGGATAGAACTTGCAGCCTAGGTATGTGCCCTGACCAGGAATCAAATGCGCGACCTTCTGGTATCCAGTACAGGACAACGCTCCAACCAACTTAGCCACACTGCCCAGGGTTCAGAGGGTTTATCTTAATATTAAAGTTTTAACTACTTAAGATAGCTTGTGTTATTACTATTAGTTTATGTTTAATTTTCCCTAGTCTTTATTAACTGGTTGGTTCTGAGATTACCAAAATTGTCCACGTTAAGTTCAAAAGAAACGATAAATGATAAGTTAAATATATGTTTAAGGGTCTAGATGTACTTATAACGAGAAATGTATTTTCTTTTAAACAGCATCCACCTTGTACCCAACACAAAAAAAGGAAACATCTACCCTCCCTTGATTACCATTGGCTACAGTGACATTGATGTCAAAGATCCCAACAGCCAGTTTGTGAAGGTGAATTCTTTACTAATCAGTGCCTCTATATGCATTCATATGGGATACAGTTTACATTACAGTCAGAGGACAACTGGTCCTTTTTCAAGTTTTACATCAACACTGCTCTGTATATAGTCAAGTGTTAATTGGTTTTTACTAATGATGGGCAGAGGTGAGTTCTTATGGATCCTGAGTATGAAAAAGGCAAGACGAAGGTTTTTGTAGACATTGTCGCCACCAGCTGGGCATCCCTGTCAGGACGTTGAGGCAGGCTGAGATGCAGTGTCAGCTGCTCTTTCTCTTTGGCCCCCTTGCTGCTGTTAAGATTTTGTCTTCTCCTTGCCCCGGCCTACAAAAACCAGCCAATGGAGGCGTAAATAAGTGGAACAACAAATTGATGTTTCTCTCAAAATCAAAAATTTAATAAAATAAAAGATTTTGTCTCCTTTTCCAATTAAGCCAGGAGCTCAGACTTTATGGTGGGTGGTCTTGCCCACTTGAAGACACACTTCAACAGGCTGAAAGAGATGCCAGTGATCAACTCTATCCCTCGTGCTAAAATGAACTAGAGAATGCAGTTTGGACCTGCAGCCAAGTTGGCTTCCTACTACTTCCCCAACTCAATTAATTAAATTTCGCCGCAGAACCAAGGGCCTCCCCTGCTTGGCAGGGTCTGTAGATGGGAGAGAGACCGTGTGCACCCTGACAACAGGCTACACCAAAGAGCATGAGCCTGGAAAAGGCGGGGCCATGCATGCGCAGTGCCTCCTCTCCAGTAGATGAGGCATTTCTGCTTTGAGGAGGGGTAGATGCGAGGATGGAGACTCGAGCCAAAGGTGACCCCTTTCTGCTTTTTCCTCAGAGAGGTTAAGTGGTCATCCCCTTGCCTCTCTAAAAACCTGAAAAATGGGGGATAAGCATCTCTTACCTCCAAGACTCACGAGTAGCTTGTCATTTCCACTGTTTTACTTTTCTGAATTGTAAGGCTCTAGTTTCCTCAGGCAGTGCTTTCGGCCTCCCTGTGTGCTGGTACTAGTACTCAGGTACTATCGGATTTAGGTGTTCATCAAGCAAAAAGGCACATAAAAAGCTTTTCTCTAAAACATTTACTTCCTCATTTGTATTACCTAATCCAAGGTTAAAATCCGTTTTCATTGTCTTGGCTTACATACACTGTAATAAGAGAGGGAGAAAACCCAGAAGCATGCTTAGTAACAAAAGACTGCTCGGTTTAAAATTTCCTGGAGTGATAATTCTTGGGTAACCAAGAGTATGAGTATATTTATTTTAACATAAAACATTTCTGGGTCTTTTCTTCACATACTTTTCTTGTCCAAAATATTCCAAACCAAGTCTTTACAAATTGGGAAATAAGAGAGTTGAGAGAATCATAAAACTGTACTGAAAAAGTCCACCTCAAATTCATTCTAATTGTAGAATATACAGTCCTTTCATCATTTCTTAATTTCGTATGACAGCTGTTAAAAAATTCTACATTAGTTTTAAGCATTCAGCTACATCTCTGCTCACCAATAGCAAATAACCTTCCCTCATATTTTATGAGGACCGAGACTATTCAGTATGAATTTCCTCTTTAATACTCCAGTGTTTCATTGTCCTTCCTGTCTCTTATTCCTATTTCTAAGGGAAAAAGAAAAGATCCTTCCTCCTTTCTTCAGCTAATGTACTTGCATTTGTTTTCAGACTTTCTCCAGTATTCTGTTTCACCCCAACCCCTTATTAAATCAGCTTCTGTTAGTCCCTTTCTTTTGCTTATAACACCTTTCAGGTTGCCCCATCTTAAAAGCGAACTAAAATACACAAAACAATAAAATGCTTCCTTAATTTTGTTAGCTTTTCAGCTTGCTATTGTATACCTTTCCTTGATTTTTCCAACCATTTACTCTTTCATCATTTGCAAGCCACTATAATAAAAACAACTTAAGAACAGACACGTAGATCAGAGAACCCAGAAATCAGCCCAAACCATTACGCTCAATTAATACTTGACAATAGAGGCAAGAGCATACAATAGAGTAGAGACAGTCTCTTCAATACATTGGACAGATACATGCAAAAAATGAAACTAGACCAACTTACACCATACACAAGAATAAACTCAAAATGGATTAAAGACTTAAATGTAA